TTAAAAAATTCGTTATAAGCTTATAACAAAGTTGATATCCAGATCCTAGAATTCGTTATATCAAGAGTTCACTGTAAATTTCAAATTGCTTAAATATTTGATACGATTCGATTTTGAGGAACTCTACTCATCACTAATAATCTTATACTAGTTTTTCATGATTAGATTTGAACCTCATGTTGCTTTAAAGTTTCTGAATATAAATAATCTAAAGGCATTATTATTCGTTTAAAAAGATAAAGAAGTGTAAAATCAAATACATGAAAAAATTACTTAATCTAAAAAAAACTTCTAATGATTGATTGATTTAAACAGGTTTAAAATAAAACTATAGGGATAGTTATAGTTTAGTCTTTTTTCCTTTATTATATCTTTTATATTTAATATTTTTTGAAATATATTAATAAACTTATAATAATACCACAACGTTATAAAAAAAATATAAGCATACATTTTATATGTGCCTAACTATATAACTATAATAAGGTATAACTATAATAAGTTTATTATAAAAATTCATTATTTTCAATTATTTTATTTAATAAAATTTGGGATTACTTATGAAATTTATAATAACAAAGACTTCAAAATATAAATTGTTATAATGAGATTCTTAATTTTTAGTTATTAGTATCTATAATATATATTTTTAAAGCATATTATTTTATATTTAAATTAGTATTATTAAAGATAATAAAATTATATTCTGATATAAATTTATATTAATAAAGTAATATAAATTTTTAGTAAAACTAGTATACTTTTCTTTTTTTTATATTTATCAAGACATTTTTAATAACTTTTTATAATATTAAACCTTTGTTTATAAACTTATTAAACTTATTATTAAATCTATATCTTTCTTTTGCTCTTTTAAAAGGATAAAACATTTCTTTATCTTATTCTATTTAACATATAAATATTTTAACTCATTAGTATAAATTTATTTTTTAGAAATATTATTATACTAAATAAATTAAATATATAAAATAACAATTATTAAATAAAATTAAAAAAGTTGTTATATTACTTTTTATAGATATAGTTTATTTATAAGTTAAAATAATTTGTTAAATATAAAGTTAAAATTACTTATTTAATTTTTTTTTATATTTAAAACTATTTAAATCTTTAGTTTACTTAATATAATTTTATCATTTTTATAAGTTTTAATATAATTTTACTTTTTTCTGGCTTTATAAACTTTTAATAAGAATTAATATAATTTTATTAAATTTTTAGTAACATTTAGATGATTGTTAAATTTTTAAATTTTGTTTAATAATATTATATAAAATTATAATAAGATTTGAATATAATATATAAAATTTATGCTAATTACTATATATAATATTTATTTTTAAATCTCTTAAATAATAAAAAGATATAAACTCTTAAATATTTTATTTAATATATTAATATAAATCATGCTAATATAGATTATTTTTAATATTTATTAATATTTAAAAGATTACATATCAATATTATTTTGTAAAAAATAAAAATATCGATTTTGTAAGCTAATTATGTTTTTTTTTTAGTAAAATAAGTTTAGATTTGATATCAACATAAAAAAAAATATTTTTTTAAAGTTTTCTTCCTTTTCATTGCAAAGCTTTCATATAAGTAGATTATATTATAGATATTATAGATATATATATATTTGTTATAGTAAAAATTATAAAATGATTATAAAATTATAGTTAAGTTATTTGTTATAGTAAATAAAGTCGTAATCTAATACAATTTACATATGGCAGTTATATATATTATATATAAGAATGCTATCCTAAACTACTAAAAATTAGTTTCGGTTAAACAAAACTAGTTTTAGTAGTTTTAGCTATTAACTAAATGAGTTTTAACGCTTACTTAAACTAGTTTCAATTATTTTAAACTATGGAATTTTAGTTTCAGACAGTAACATTAATTATATAGGTAGTCATATCAAATGATTTACTTTATTCCTAACATTATTTTAATAGAAAGCAAACCAAATTTTAATATATGACTATTATCAACATTTTTTTTTATAAAAAGTATTAATGATTATAATTATTAATTGTTTTATTAAAAAGATTGATATTACTAAAATAAAAATTAATAGTATTTTATATAATATTATATATTTTCAAAACATTCAAATTTTTGTTAATATATTAGAATAAAAGTTATAGATATATCTAATAAAGTAGTATTAATAAAAATTTAAAATTAATATATTTTCACTATTTATTCAATTGATTTAAACTATTTAAATAATAATATATATAATTTCTTTTTCAGACTTATATAATAATACTTAGTTAATATTATCTTTAATATATTTAAATTAGATTGATAATAGATATCCAAATGTTTTATAAATACAAATAATAAAAGGTATTAAAACAAAACCAATTAAATATAATCTTACTTATACTAAAAGCTAAACGGACTTATTTAAGATCTCAAATGGTAAAAAATTTTTTGAAAATTTAAGATATCAAAAATTTATTAAATTAAAGTTAATTAATTTAAACTTCAAAATAAAAAAAAAAATTTGATAATTACAAATAATTATTAACCAATCAAAGTTGTAATTTTTTAATAATAATTCAAAGACAAACCGTATCTTCCATATAGCAAGCAATGATGATTTCATTAAATGAGACGAAAAAATTATAGGTTACATAGAAATCCAATCAATCAAAAATCGAAATTATTACAGGAATTTAAATTTGGGAAAAGTGTGATAATACAATGTTTTCAAACTAGTTGAGGCTGAGTTTACTAGCTTTTTGGGGATATTTTGAATACTTACATGAGGTTTATTTTGTTCCAAAAAAAAAAAACAATATAATTTGTTAAATTTAGAATGATCCTTTTTTAACATTGTTAATTAAAAAAAAGGGTAGTATGTCATCCAAATTTGTGTCATATTAATAAATTTTACTCTGAAACGGAAGTTCATTGACGGAGAACGTGAAAAAAAAAAAAGAAGAAAGAGAATACGTTCTTTCTATAAAACTGACGAATTAAATTGAAATCGACGTTTTCAGAAAAAGGAAACCCGATCTTCATTTCTCCTCATGTGCTGCTAGTAATTTACACAACATACGATCAAGGTTTATTTACGTCTTATTTTCAAAATCCCCGGTTTTTTTAAACACTGAAATTCCGAAAAATATAGAAATCATGATTTATAAAGTCGATGTTTTAATTCATATGATAAAATCATGAGTTTCATTTAACTGATTCATGTGGTAAAGATAGAAAGGATTTTTTTTGAAGGAATAAAGATTATCGTTATCGTTTTCTTTTTTTTTTTTTTTTTGGGAATTTAAAAGATCCGTTTTAAATACATCCATACACGGAAAAAAAAAAATTATAGTATTTTTATCTTCTATTTGTAACACGTTGATTGTCATATAAACAAAAGTAAAACTGTTTGTTTGAACTCCCTGATTTTTTTTTTATTCTTTATATATTTTAATACAAAACATTTTTTTTTGTTCTCAATAGTTTTTTTCCTTTTAATCGAGAGAGAAAAAAAGTTCTTGAGCTGGCCTTTGGAAAGATTTATTTTTTTTCTTTATCATTAATTCAACAAACTTTACAATAAGCTTTGACGATTTGAATTTTTTATGATTAGAATCCTTTTTTTCCTTAATTATCTATTTACCTCATTATCCATTATCACATTAATTAATTACACAATTCAATATTTTTTTCTTTTTCTAAAAAAATCTCATCGAATCTCTAATTTTCATCAATTGTAAATATACTTTCATCATAAAATACAGAATGTCATATATAAATAATCGTACTCATCCAAATAATTATTCTGGCCCCGAAAAAAATTATCAATATGACGACATCGATGTAGATTTAATAGAAGTGGAATCTTTTGATCAAGAGAGTAACGAAGACGCTGGAGTTGGAAGCAGTAAGAGTATGATTAGTTCAGAATACAGTTTATTAGCAGGAATGTCTCCAATTGAACAAAAAAAATTTGAAATGCAACAAATGAAGATCTTACAAAAATTACAACGAAAAGATATTGCGGATGTATCGAAAAATGTTACCGATTCTATCGATTCAGAATCAATTCATTCTTCGCTTATTTCTTTAATATCGCGATATGCTGATGAATATGTTGATGAATATGTTGATGAATATTCCGATGAATATTCCGATGAATATGTTGAAGAATATGCTGATTCGAGTAATCAATCTAATCCTTCTCAAAAACCTGCTTCCAAACATACCGTTTCATTTAGTAAATTGATGTCATTCGGTTCTATTAGGGGAAAATTTAATCGTCAACGTAGCATACGACATATTCGCATGTTAAGTGAATTAAAGATTCCTGTTCCTGATGCAAATGAACCAATTATATTTGAATCTAACGTGAAAAGATGGAATTCTTCTGTATTTAAAAAATCTTCAAATAATTACCTTGTCCTTACAAGTAAATGTCTTTGTAGCTTTAAAAATGCTGAGAAAGCTGCAAAAATATTTTCTCGTCTAATTCATAATGATAAAAGCACTGATGAAGATACTTCTTCAGACTCCTCTGATACCGCAACGAAAGTTTTACCATCGGAAAATATCATCCTTTCATTACCTACAGTTTATGCCATTTCTGAACAATTAACACCTGAACCTTGCATTAGAATTGATTATATATCGGGTCCTAAAAAGCATGCTCGCGTTTCAATCACATCCCAAGACCTCGAAAGTCATAATCAGTGGCTTTCAACGATAAGAACCGCAGTTCGTACCGCGAATGCCGTAGGTTCTTATTTAACGCTGAATCAACGTACTTGGATCATGTCAAAATTACAATCGGTACAAGATTTATCCGATGAGAACGAAGAGAATTTGGTTGCTTTTCGAGTTATATTAAAATCAATTATCGATGAAGGTTCTAGGAAAGAACATGATAAAGATCCAAAAGTTACGATTTTTTTCATCTTAGGAAGAAGCAATGTTTACTTTATTCCAACTAGTTTAGTTGGAAATGAGTTGTCGAGTGATGAAAATGGAATGAAATCAGATCGAATTCCTCATTATCCTTTGCTTGTTGAAGATACCAAGTCAAAAGATGTCGAATTTCATAGATATAAATACCCCTTATTATGTCTCACGGACATATATTCAGATGGAAGAGATGATTCCTTTCAATTAACATTTAAAAATAATATTGGATCCATGAAAAGAACTTTATCACTTGGATCTCTTTTAGTAGAAAATATTATAACCGAAATTCGCACAGCGATCGATTCTATTACATTTTGGTGGCCAAGCCCCGGTTATCAATTAAGAGCACCGACAAATATGCAAGCAACGATTATACCCCCAGAACCTGAGAGCGATAAGGCTTCACAGGTGGTAGGGCTTGAAAGAATGATCGAAGCCCAATGTCATGCCTATCTTGTCAATAAATCAAGGATTACTTTCAAAATCGAATATGTAGTTGGAGCCAAAAGTACCTTTATAGGATTAGGAATTGACCATTTACCCTTTAGATTTATCCTTCTCCCCCCTGCATCTCAATCATCTGAATCACAATTAGAGCATGAAAGTCCTTATTCAAATCAAGAGTTAATAGCGATTTTTAATTCTCTTAAATATCATCCACTTTTACATGAAATAATTCTTCGTCATACAAACCTTTTCGAACTTCAAATTCAACAGGGACCTAGAGATCATGATGGAATGAATATGCTTGCCGCCGTAATATATGATCTTTTATTATCCAATCCAAGATTAAAGAAATTGGATTTAACATCTTGTGGAATTACAAGTGAAACAGTTTCGGCAATTGGTAAAGCCCTCATAACAGGACAATCATGTTTAGAACGTTTATTGTTGGGAGGAAATTCAATTAGAGGAGAAGGGGCTCAAGCATTAGCTAGTGGATTAACTGGTCATAAATCAGCTATTAAAGAATTGGATATTTCAAATTGTAAATTAACCAATGATTCAGTTGAATCAATCCTTCAAGCCTTGGATACAAATGTTCCCGAAGAATTAGAGGTTTTAAATATCTCAAATAATAGTTGTGATCTGGAGACAAATGTTTTAGAGGAACTTTTATCAAAAACCGTAACACTTAGGACATTAAATTTACGTAGATGTCAAAAATCCTTTACTCATAAAAATCCTTTGATATCGGTGGAACTTTTAGGTAATATTAACCTTACAACTTTAGATTTAGGAGAGATTTCACTTAATAGTCGTGATCACTTGAATGCGTTATACGAATATATTCAATCACCAGCATTCGCCAAAATACGATATTTAAGTGTGGATCATTGTGATTTGGATGGGGGAGCAGTTTCACTAATATTATCATATGTCACAACATCACCAAATTATGAAAAGATAAGAGTTTGGGCAGGAGGAAATTATGTAATGAGATCCTCGCAGGGTTTTAAAGAATTTATTAATGCGATTAAAAGTGATTGGACTCCAATATGGCTTTCGTTGGAAGATACTATATTTGGATTAAATCTTGACATGATCATTGATATTTTACAAGCATTTTCTGAAAACACAGTTATACAATATTTAGATCTATCTTATCCCAATTTTAGTAAACATAAAGGTGTATCACCCACTCCGCAAACGCAAATGATCGCAAAGAAAGCATGTGAAGCTATTGGAAGCTTATTTAGAGAAAATAAGTCGATAAAAGGATTAGATTTGCACGGAGAATCTTCAAGAAGATTCGGTTCTTTACTCGGCAAAAGTTTATCTGGATTGAAAGAGAACAACACTTTGGAAAAATTGAATATTAAAGGAAATGCCATAAGTGATCATGGTGCTAAAGTGTTAAGCGAAGTATTGAAAGTCAACACAAAATTAAGAGTTTTAAGTTGTGATGAGAATGAGATTGGAATTGAAGGGTATAGCGCAATACATAAAATCCTAACCACTGGTTTAAATGTGACATTACAACAATTCTCATACCCAACACAAGACTTACGAGCCCATAATGAAAGTCTGGATTCAAAATTAACGATTAACTCACCACGTGATACCATATTCGGTCCTCCTACGGCTAAAATGAGTCAGAGAATTGCAGCAGAAAAACTAAAGGTTAATTTCCGTGAAATTGTAGAAGAAATTATGATGGCAGTTGATGAACATGAAGAAAGTTTTTCTGAAAGTAACTCTAACGCGGATGATAATAAATCATCTAAAAGTATCATTACAACTCCTTAATTTTTTGTGTTAAATAGAATCAATTATGGGTTAATATTGGGAATTGCATTCGTTTTAATGTATGTCGAGTTGTTTTTTGCATTTTTTCCTTTCTCTTTTATTTTTTTTGATTATCTATTTTATACACATAATATATATTTTGAGGAAATTTATACATTTTTTTTTTTTGCAAAATAATAAAGATTGAATTACAATAATTGATTAAACAAGTTCTATCAATCATAAAACATATCTAACTATTCGCTAATACAAAAGATATAAAAGAGAGAGTTTTCCTATATATCAAATAGTCACTACTCTTATGGCGTGAGCAGAACAACGTTTTTACTCAAAATATAATGGTACAATGTTCTAATTAAAAGCTCGTGTTTTTGTATTACATTCTTTTTACTGTTTACACAACGTGAATTTCATGCTATTATAAAAGTAAATCCGGATCGATATTTACATTTTCACATTTATATATATATATTTTTTTTCATTCTATTTTTGATTTACTATTTTTTTTTTTTAAATTTTAAATTTTTTTTTTTTTTGGTTTATAAATAAAACGCATGATCTTTGATTTTTCGTCTTCTTCTTCTTCTTCCTCTGTTTTGAACTCGACACCTAAACAAGATTGCAACTTTCTTGTTGCAAGGAAAAGGAATATATTTTCTTTTTCTTCAGCAGGAAGTAGCAGCACTAGTGAGAGTGAAGTGGAGTACAATGTTGAAGCAATTGGAGGAGCAAGGACAGAACATGGTTATAAATTATCCAATGCATCCCCACCTCCAATTCCAGTCGCTGCTAGTACATTGGAACGTGTAATTATATTAGCTACAGCATTATATGCCAGTTTAAAATTGGTCAGTATAATGGCAGCTAATGAGGTTGGACGCATTGAAGGTCTAGGTAGCGATTTGTTATCAATTTTAATAATTTAGCATAGAATTGATTGTTCATTGAATTATATGATTAATTATGAAATGTAATGAAATTATTTTTAATAAAAATAAATTTTTTTATTATGAAATTAACATATATTAGATTTGATGTTACTTTCTATATGGACTTGGTTTGTATACTCATTCGGTTTCCCGTTTTCGAATAATGAGGAGAAACTCTTTCATAGATTATGGGGAACTGATGAGAAATATTATAGGTCTGATTTCATTATTCAATTTTTGTTTTAGAATTTTAAATTAAAAATGGATTAAAGAATATGAATTAAAAAAATAAAATACAGAAATGATGTCGATGATGGCGCATTTTACGGAACATTGTTGATTCCAATAGTAGCTGCTGCAAAAATAATAGATGGTCAACGTTCATCATCATCACCTAATGATGATGAATCTTCTATGGGTATGCAAGATAGTTCTTTTTGTGTGCAATTAGATTTTTTATTCTCTTTATCGAATTTTTAAAATCATCCATACCTTTTTAATCAAAAAAAAAATTTGTTTTTTAAAAATAAAATTAAATAAAATCCAAATTTAGATATTATTCAGGTTAATTTCGAACTCTGTTTCATTATGGGATGTGGCCTTTTACTTCACATGTTCATGTCCAAGCATATAAACGTAAACAACTTGGGATCAATTTGGACAATGATCATAATTACAACTCTATCGATACTATTTGCTGCTTTTATGGCAGCTATGGGACTTTTACCTCTTTTTCAAAGTAAGTCTCATTTTTTAATTTTACGAAATTTATTAATAAATCAAAGATAATTAACAAAGTAAATAATAAAATATTTTAGGATTACCTTGGCAACTTATTATATTTTCGCAATTTTTCTATCATACTTCATTGTATACCATTGCAAAATCAATGAAAAAGAGTTTTACATTTGGTGAATTGGCGGTTGTTTCACAGGCTTTAACGTTACTCGCAGTTGAAGCTTGGGTAGTAACGATGAATCAGGTATTTCAGATCTTTTTCTTTATAGTTTTTATCTTTTATACAGCGTCAATGGCTTCAGTTTAACTTATATTATATATATTATTCCTATTATGAATTGAATTGATTGATAGTTTGGATTACTTAGACTTTTTCCTTTACAAAATCATATACCTAGTAATATAGTCATCTTTCAAATTGCTCTTATCCTTGGTATATTATTGATAGGAATAGTTTTATCGCCGTTTCTTATACGTTCAAGACAACTAGCACAACAACCGACTTGGAAAATTAAGCACACACGTGACATCAATAGCAGAAAGAAAAAAGTTGCCTTTATTATTTATTTTATTACTGTACTTATGATTGGTTCAATTGGACTTTGGGTGCAAGCTTTTTTGAATATAGATCCTTATTCATGGTAAAAATTAAAAAATCAAATTATTTACATATTTTTGATTTGTAGTTATGTATTAATTTTTTTACTTTTAAATATTTAGGATGCTTGGATTTGTTATAGAGAAAAAAGCACGAATATTTTTGTGTATATTTTGGATAGGATTAATTGCACTATCCCTTGGTTTATTTATTCAATTGTCTCAAGCACGTAAAATTTATTCTTTAAATACAAAACGAAAATATTTCCACTTTCTAGCATTAATCATGTTTATGCCAGGATATCTATTTGAGGTTAGCTTTTCATTTCATTTCATTTCAAATTTTTTTTTTCTTTTCCAATTCTAAGTTTTATTAGATTTTATTAATTTCCGTGATTTACGACGTATAGTCAGTATTTATGCATTTAGCATTTAGTGTAGCATTTGCTGCATTAATTTATTTGGAATATTTGAGGTATTTTGCTGTATTTCCGTTAGGGAAACAACTTCATGTATTTCTCAGCGAATTTTTGGATTCTCGTGACGCGGGGCCAAGTATTTTAAGTCATATATATTTACTCGTTGGGTGTGCTGGTTGCATTTGGTTGGATGGGTAAGTTATTTGATATTCAATGTCTCTGAAAAATAATAATATATATATATATTGCATTTGAATGATTTATTATTGGCTTTGATTTTCTAATTTTAAAGAAATTTTGTCTACTCCTTTTATATTATTAAAGATCTTCTACACTAGCAAATATTTCTGGTATATTTACTTTAGGCCTTGGCGATTCAATGGTAAGAAAATAAACCTATTCATAATCATTTGTAGAAAAGGATTCAATTATAATAATTATTATGATATAGGCTTCTATAATTGGAAGAAAATATGGAAGGCATAGATGGCCTGGAGCTTTTAAAACTATTGAAGGATCCATTGCATTTGTTGTCTTTATAATGATCGGGGCAGTTATATTAAATCTTACAGCATCATCCAATATATGGGCGGATTCTGCTCAAGTAAAGTATTTAATTATATTATTTTCTGTTTAAATATACTTATTTTATTTGAAGTTCATTTTTTTATTTTATTTGATATAGTGGTTTAGTTATAGTCTGGTGGTTTCAGTAATTGGTAAGTTTATTATTTTTATTCGATGTAATTTATCATTTTGTAACCTAATAATATAATATTGTTTCATTTAATATTAGCTCTCTTGGAGGCAGTAACTTATCAAAATGATAATCTCATACTTCCATTGTTTATGTGGTCTTTGGTTAATCTTAAAATATAAAATTATCAAAAATAAATACATTTATAAATAAAAAAAAAAAAAACTTTGTTGGAACGCTATATTAATTTATTACAATCGTGGAAAAAAAAACCAAACATTGTAAATTACTTGTTAAATAAGACATTTATTATATAGCTTTTTTTAACAACAAAAGAAAGAGAATAAAAATTAAATAAAGTTGTAAAATAGTTTAACTTTGTATCAAGTATGAATATTTTTTTTAATTTGATATATAAAATATATTTCAAATTAAAAGGTTTGAAAACTTTTATACTACCTAATAAAAATATTTGATAGTAAATTTTCATGATTCATAATATAACATGCAATGATGTGTCATTATTTATTACGCGTATAAGTCACATATACACTATTATTGTGATGATAATTTAAGTTTTGGAAATAAAATTCCGTTATTATCGCCCCGATAAAATATTAATATATCACGATTATTTTTTATATTCCATCCTTTACCAAATTTAGAATATTCCCAAGTTCTTTGTTCTTTTTGTATTCCAAGGTTATTCAATAATTCAGTCATTTTTGTTGGCATAATTGGTTGTAATAAAATTCCTGAAATTCTTGCTGTTTCTGCAGCATAAAATAATACATTATTAACGGTTTCTTTTTGATCAGAATCACTTTTCAATTTCCAAGGCTCATTATTCGTAAAATGTTTGTTAGCCTATTGAAAATATTATGTCAATTAAGTAAATCTATAAATATCGAAATCATTGATTTGCTGGAATCAACTTACTTCTGCAACGGCTTCAAAAATAAGGGATAAACCCTTTCCAAATTCCATATCTTGAAAATGCTTATCTACGAGATCTGTAAGGGAATAATAATAAAATATTGGTTTATTCATATTAAAATTTTCGTGTAGCAAGAAAGAAATCATATTACCTGACAGGTTTTGTAATTTATTATATAAACTAGCGTCCTTCTCAGTTACTCCGTTAGAAAATTTAATTGGTGATGGAACAACCAATGAAGGATTTAGAGCAGGAGAAATGCTACGTGAAAAAAGATTTCCAAGCTGCCCTGCTAAGTCTTTTCGATGTCGTTCTTTTATATTATTATCCGAATAATCTGCAAATATAACAAATGAATCAATATAAAGGAATTATAATAGCAAATTCAATTCCACCAAGAATCATTTACCTCCATCATCACTTATACCGCCATCTCTCATCAAATAATAACGAACTGTATCAACTCCATAATCATTCATTACTTTAATAGGATCAACCACATTACCACGACTTTTTGACATTTTTTGTTTTTTCATTGTCCAATGTGAATGAGCTAAAATTTTTTGAGGAAGTGGTAAATCTGCTGCCATCAAAAATGCAGGCCAAAATACCGCATGAAACCTCAAGATATCTTTTCCTACAACGTGAATATCAGCGGGCCATCCGTTCATATCTTCATGTTGCCAAGGGAACCCATTCACCGTAAGATAATTAATCAAAGCATCTAGCCAAACGTAGACTGTCTGCTCTGAATCTCCTGGAACTTCAACTCCCCAATCTAGTCTAGAATGTGGTCTAGATATCGACAAATCAGTCAATCCACTATCAATCCAAGCTTTAGCCTCATTAAATTTATTAGAAGGAACAATGACTAATGTAAAATAAAATATTACTTATATTAGTGTACGAATAATTATCACTAATATAAGTTAGGAAAATGTAAATACAAGCAAAGAATTACCTTAGAATTTACCTTGAGGATTTTCATCCAACCACCTTTTTAGCCTATCTTGGAATTCCGATAGGCGAAACTTATAATTTTCTTCAGTTGTCCATTCTACCGGTTGTCCAGATTCAATTGCTATCTAAAATAATTTATTTATCAGTAACATCAGTAACGCGTCTGTTGACATATTTTGAAGTCAATAAAAACAACAAGCTACCATGGATTTATCTTCTGAATTGGGATTCTGAATTTCCTGAACTTGAGAAGTGCTATAAAAGGCTTCATCAGATACTGAATACCAACCTTCATGCTTGCCTTTATAGATGAATCCGTTTTTCATGAGACGCATCTATTAGAGAATGATAGTTAGATTTCAAAAATTTATTTATTCTAAAATATATATCTCAAATAATTAGATACCCAAAAATTTTTCACGGCATCCTTATGCGTTTGTTCTGTAGTACGTATAAAATTTGTATAACTGATGTTTGCAGTATCGAAAAGTTCCTATTGATGAATATCTATTAAATATAAAAACCATTAATGATATTAATAACGTAAGATCTTTAACTTTGATAAATACCTTAAATTTATTAGAAACTTTATCGCAAAATTCTTGCGGATTAATATTGTCTTTTGCTGCAGCTTGTTTAATCTATCAATATGTGATAAAATTAACACAGAGGCTTTTTTTAAAAAAAGTATTAATGTTCAATTAATTACCTTTAAACCATGTTCATCAGTTCCTGTGCTAAAAATTACTTTATGACCTTTCAGTTCATAATATCGTTTTAGACTATCAGCCATTACTGCTGAATATAAGTGCCCTATATGTGGTACTTTTTAAAAAAACGAATCGATAAATTGATATAGTAAAATATTTCATAGTTGTAAAGAATTAATTAACTTACTTGCATTAACATAAAAAATTGGCGTTGTAATATAAATTGGCTTCTTGGTAGTTGTGACATATTGTCGATAATAAATGTGTCGTAAATTCGTAAATTTTCGCGTATAAATTGAAATAATTTTTTGATATTTCATGGAGTCTTTTAATTATAAAAAAAAATTTCTTTAAAGTAGATTATCAAAATATTTTTTTGAATAAAATAACATCCATCCGATTTAAAGGCTCGGCCGATCTTACCAAAAAAAAAAAAAATAAATAAATAAAGCAAATAAAGCAAAAGCCGTCATATAGGAAATGATGATTAGAAAAACAAATAATTGATTTGATGATTTTACAATGCACGTTTTTTTTTTGATATTTTTTTTTTATTATTAGACAATTTATTTAATAACATGATAGTGAATGTTCAAAGATAATGCTTTGCTATTTTCATTTTTAAAAATAAGTTTTTTATGATTGAAAATTATAAGGATTTAATTATGAGATGTCTTGTAATCTTTGATATTCTAGGATCAGTCATGAATGCTGATCTGTCAAGATGAGAAATCTCAACAGTAGAAAATCTGCTAAGAGTAACATAGGCTTGACCTACAGAGAAGATATTTTGATCCAAAGCGAGAAAAATGTTTGGTCTTGCATTTTATAAACTATAAGAACAAACCAATTCTGTAATAGATATTGAGTTCTGTAACAGTTATTCCTATATAGTTGTAATATGTTTGCTTATAAATAGTTGTCTATTATAGAACTTTTTACAGAAAATGCGATTCAAACATAATGATTAATAAGGTCTAGATTTATAATAATTCTGTTTATTACATATATCTTGTTTAATCAAAGAGTTATTAAAACACATAATACATATATCTGGTTGTAATTTTATAGAAGAAGGTAGGTTAGTTTTGCTTTTAAAAGAACTTTCAGAAAAGAAAGCATGTCATAATGTGAAATTTATTAAATCTACAGCTTGAGATATAAGAAAATTTCCTTTAGGATGTTACAAATCATTTGGTTAATTTGCTAAGCATTTTCTCTAAAGTTGATAATATTGGTAATATTGAGAAGTATATTAATTACTAATTAAATTAAAAATTCAACTGAAGATTTATCATATTTCAATAGATATATTCCATTCAAACTTTTTGTAAGATTTGTTATCAATGGTTAATGTTATGGAGTTGTTAGAAATAAAAAATAAAATAAAGTTCAGGTTATTAAACAAAATATGAGTAGGCTTATAATAATTAGTAATTGAACAATATCACTTATTATAATCATATTTATTCATTTAAAGAGAATACTATTATTGTTAAGATTAGCAAAAAGATTAGATATAAAGTTTAAAAAATTGAATCAATTTTATCAATATATACATATATTTGAAAGTAATCATGATATGAAAAATCTGCAATGCAAAATAAATAGTTTTTTTTTTTACATTTTAAGTAATGATACTAGTAGAAATCAGTAAAAAAAATTGTATTTTTATTTAAGAGTGTTGTTTATTAGTATGTTTATAATATAGGATTTACCAATTTCTGCAAAACTTTTGATAAAATAATATGGTTATTTGATACTATTATTTGGATTGAAATATAAAGAAATAGTTAATAAAACATAATATTAATCTTTAGGTAAATTAAGTATGATGATTTCAGATAATATGAGAAAATTAAAAAATGAATTAATGCTAAATTTGAATATATTTTAGCCTGAAAATCATATTTGATATATAAAAATAAAATTGATTTCTTCTCTTTCTATTGCAAAGTTCCTATATGTAAAAGAGTATCTTAATAGTTGCAATTTTTCTATCCTATAATCAAATTCATCTCTCATAGGTATAATTAAAAGAAATTTCTAATAGAAGTATAATTTAGTATCTTCAAATTTAAGAAAATAATGATTTACTATTATTTCTTTAGAACATTTTATAACATAATTACTTAATTGATTATAAAAGATTAATTGATTAGTTAAAAGTTTTGAAGAAAAGATCAAATACCTTTTAAAATATTGAGAATAGGTAAGTGAATCAAATTCAGAAGAGATAGGATTTTACTATATATTTGGTTATAATATTATTATAATAAAAGCTTTCATTATTTTCATTTATTAAGTAAATAGGAAATATCAAATAAGATAGATTTAGTGATAAGAAATTTTATAATACTTGATAAATTACAGATTTGTTAACCTAATAATAAAAGCATCAATTCTATAAAGCTGAATTTTTATGATATACTATATTCTCTTAATGTATCCCATTCTATATGTTGAATATATAAGAGATTCATTTTTGATAACTTACTTTACTATATATTGAATGAATCTTCTATCAGTTATATATTAAGCATTTATATATATATATTATAGTAAGAGGATAGAAGAATAATAAGGAACTAACCAAGAATTTGCTTTAGTTAAACATTTATAAATATAATAGAAATTATCCTTTTCATAATGATATATAAGTATATAAAATCTTATATTAATTATATTAACAATGTCAATATTTTCAATGTTATATATATAGATCAATTTGTAGATTATCGAGTAGATTAATCCTATAAATTAATTATATGTAGATTACTTTATCGATCTGTTTATATATCATATATTCAATAGAATTTGTAATTCAGTAATAACTATAAGTATGAGTTATTCTTTTATTTTGAAATTTAATTTGATTAAAAAATTTATTATATTATCAAATCCTATAAGATTAGATTTTTTGTATACAGTTCACCCTTCCTATAACGAATTTTTTTATAACGAAGAACTTACTAAAGAAGAAAGGTTCATATACAAATTATTTTATAATTAATAATACTTAATATAGTGAATTTTATTATAAGATTTCTGTAACTCATAACTCAAATTTGCATGATAAAACAAGTATAATAAAAATACCCTTGATATAGCGAAGATTTTTGCTATACTGAATTTTTTAAATGTAACACAAATAATTAACGAATTTTGATCATATAAAATTAATAAAGTCAATTCGAATTTGCCTTTAGAGTTTAGAATTTTGATCAATTCTTTTTTCACACGCTATTATGCCTAAAACTAATAATAAATAAAGTAAAAATTCCTAAGCAAAAGGTAAAGATAAAATAATTCAAGATAATACTTTGCCAAAAAGAATATCTTTAACTTTTGCCTAAAAATATGAAATATGTCTTATAAAAATTATTGAGTCTTCTATAAAAAATAAAGAACTAGCAGTAATATAAAATGTTAATGAAGATGTATTAGTGACATATTAAAAAAATCATAAAAATGGTTTGAAATTGATTTTCAGGCATCTGAAGCTTAAGGTAAAAAAAAGATCAAAATGATTTTTCCAGAAATTGAAAAAGTTCTTACATTATGGGTATTAAAGGTCTTAGAAAATAGTGTTGATATCAGTGATCAAGTTTTACATGAAAAAGCTATGACATTTGAGAGGTAGTCAGTAGAAAAGGGGGAAATCCAAATTTTGGTCAAAATTTATATTATTGGACCACTTGGCTGATCTCGATCATGTGTACAAATTTAGCTTAATAATAAAATTAACAAAAATTTTGGATTTCCCGCTTTTTTACTGACTACCTCCCATTTGCTACTCTATATAAAATTGACAATTTTAAAAGGAGTAATGGTTGGATTAGTGAGTTTAAAAAAAGACATAATCTTTCTTATTATTTGAAACAAGAAGAAGTTGCAAGTGCATCTTTTGATCAACTTGATGAATTCAGAAAAATCTTCAAGATTTAATTTGTGGTTATAGTCTTGAAGATATTTTTAATTGTGATGAAACTGGTTTATATTAGAAAATGAAACCTAAAAGAATGATCTCTAATAAACCTGTATCTGAATGAAAACAGTCAAAGAACGTATAACCATTTTTTTGTTTTAATGCAACTGATACAGAAAAACTCAAACCAGTATTTATTCACAAATATAAAAATCCTCGTTTTCTAAAAAGTTTACCCAAATTTTTTGCTGATAAAATATTATTGGAATTCAACAGCTCAAATGTAGGTTTTTACTGGAATGATTGGATACGTTAACTTGATGTAGCAATGAAATTAAAAGGAAGAAATATTCTTCTACTTGTGAATAATACATCTGTTCATGATTTATATGAAGATGTGAAATTAACTAATATAAAAATTGAATTTTTATCTCCTAATACTACTACGTACCTTCAACCATATGATAAAGATATTATAAATAACTTTAAGGTAATAAAATTCAAACTAATTTTGATAATTACATAATAAACTACCAATTAATATCAAAAAAGCTATTAAATATATAGCTTCAGCCTGGAATAAAGTTATTTCTCAAACTATATTCAACTGTTAGAATGAAACAGGAATTTTACCGGATGATATAAATCTGATGATAAAATAGAAGATGATGAATGTGAAGAGATAAATGTGAATGAGCGTAGAAAATTCAAGATCTAATCAATAAACTTAAGTATACATATCCTCTTACTGCTGAAGAATACATTATGTTGGATCAGAAAAATAAAAATTTTGGCGTTGTTAGTTTAAACGGTTCATCATTAAGTTAACTAAGATTATTTGCTAACAAAAAGATTAAGTACGTCTAAACTATGGAAGAAATAAACACAGATTAGTTATGTTGAAGGGTCAGGTCATATAGATTTAAAGAAGTATGAAATTGTATATTGAGCAAAAATATAATTGTTAAGAGATAAATGTTATTGATTTATTAGAGAATTGTAGCGACTCTGCCATTTATTGAGGCAGAAATA